TTGGGAATAAACCCCAGGGCCTTGCACATATTGACAAGTATTCTTCTAAGCTACAAATGACTTACACTGTACCATGCCCATTCCTTTCCTTTATTTTTATGTCCTTCCTTACTAGGAGGCAATTTTTTTTATTGGATATTCTACTTATTTACATTTCAGATGTCATCCCCTTTCCCTATCCCCCCCCCCCAACTTCCTATCCTGTCCCCCCTCCCACTAGGAAGAAATCTTAAACCTCTCATTCATGCTCAATTATTATGCTAAGGAAACACATCCTGGTGACATTAAAGACTAGTAACAGGGAAGTAGTGTCTTTGAACAAAGTAACAAGTTAGATCAATGAATAATTGTGCATGCATTGCTGAATAAGAATGGAAGCTACATTGTCTGAGACCTTTAAAATAAGGTTAAAAAAAAGGAACTTGCAGATTTTATGTGTAGAATCATCTAAACAATCTAATGGATATGTTTCACTTTGCATATTATTCTGTAGGTTCTTTAATTAATCTAAATTCTAATTTTTTTAAAAATCAAGCATGATTTTTTCCTCAAAGGAACAAATAACAAGTTGAAAATAGTATGAAATAAATTAACTTAAAAACCTCATTTTACTATTTCTGTAATAATTCTCATATTTAAAACACTGATAAAAGTGTAAAAAAGTATAAATGTTTATGACTTGCCTTTTGAAGTTGCTGTTAAACATTTGAGTATTAGGTATTAATATCTACTATGTTATATCAAGTATAAAATATATCTCAGCATATAACCTCGAACCTAAAAACTGTTAAAGTTATTATATAGCAATTTATAAAATGTATCTACTACATACATGAAAATCAAAGCAAAATACCCTAATAGGATATTTTAATAATCCTTAATAAAAGAATTACAATAGCAACATTTGTAGGTTGAGGCAGGAGGACTGCCATGAATTAAGAGGCCAGCTTGAGTTAGAGATGAGATCTGGTACTAAAATAAACAAAATAGAGGCAGGAGGATCTTTATGAATTAATCCTAGGTCAGCATAGTCTACAGAGTGAGATCAGGCCAGCCAGGTTTACACAGAAAGAATCTATCTAAAAAAAACAAGCAAACGACAACAACAAAAACCCAACCAACCAACCAACCAACCAGCCAAAAGACTTGGTTGAATAAACTCTATTGAGCAATTACAAAACTAGAAGCTAACTGATGTGTTGAGAAACAATGTTAAAATCTTATTTCAAAGCAACAACACCTTATACTGTTTTGTTACAAGACGAACTTGACAGTGAACAGTTAGTTTTACAAAAACTAAAACTAAATAGCGTTTATATGAGAAAAATTACAAAGGAATAAATCTGAAGTAAAACATGTTCTTGACAGCTAGAACAAATGAATTCAGGAGTAATCAACTATACAGAAGCCATAATATGAAATCAATCCAAGAGATTTTATTAATAAATGAAGTTTCATAATAAGGTTTACAAAAAAAAAGCAGTGATTAAGCTTCGAGCATTAGTGAATTTGTACAACTGGGTTCTAAAACAAAAGTAGAGTTCAAGATCAAGATTTCCAAATGCAGAGCAAACATGAGTGCTATGGATTAAGGCTGGTATGACTCAGTCTTGGTACTCTGGGTTGGGCAAGCTGGTAAAAGTCAGTATGGGAAAGCACCAGGAGCATAAATGTATTTAATTAGGCAAAAAGAATTTCTGGTTCCATCTGGTTTATCTGTGTAGTTCTGGCTGCCCCTCAAACTCAGAGATCTGCATGCTTCTACCTCCAAAGTTCCAGGATTAAAGGTGTGCACAACATCCAGCAAATATATTAACACTTTAGGTTTTTAACACTGTTCTCCTGACCCATACCTAGATCCCAAAGTACTTAATACATTTAAAACCTTTAATCTTGAGGTGGTAGCAAAACTGGAATTCCTTATCTCCAAAGTACTTTAATATTTTTGTAAGAACATCTGGGAACCAGTTTTATTCTTCTAGACTTTTTTGAAGGTTTGAAATAGACATATATTACCATAGATTCTGTTAGCTTTGAAATACTAGAAATAAGCGTTGTGAACTTTATCTACTATGCCATCTTTATGAGAAATAAAGAACTTGTATAATATATATGAAATATTATTCTACAACTTTCATATTCATCTTGTCTTTCAGTGAAACTATGTTGGTGACCTATAAATCTTACTTAACTGAGGAATGAAAATTCCTACTGAACACACAATTTTATGCTACCTGACCAACAAGTTGTCATTATTTGGCTGACCACACTAATAGTTATTATTGAATTATATTAAATAACAGAACTAACATAGTTACTAAATGGAGTGTGGATATAAAGCCCTATTTAAAATATTAATCATTAAATGAGCTAAGATATCCTGAGCTCAAGCATATTTCACCATCAGGCTAGTAAGAAATACAGAATCACATTATTATAATAAAACTAGTTGCATATAGGTAAGGGTACTTTTTTGAATCAATACCCAAGAAAATTTCTATGGGCTAAGTAGGACTTTCCATAGAAATTAGATTTATTGTGAAAGAATGAAACCAGCAATTAAGCATTTTTAGAAGCTGACAGAAGATACACAGAATACAGAGTGTTTGTAAGTAGTATAGCTCATCAATGCAAAGGTGTGTTATGTTAGACAATGAGCTCCCATAACGATGTCATGTAATTAAGTAGGATAAAACCTACATACTGTAATATCTAGAAATGAATAACTGACCTATAAGTAGCATATATTTATTGAGGGCAAACATTTTCTTAGGGAAAGATTATGCTATTGTGGGAACTGACAACAATCTGAGACATTTAGTACCACTGGGAAATATTTATGACAACCTGTGCTAACACTGCCTTATACAAGCTTACCTTACAGGCATTCTTTATCACCTTCCTTATTTCTATCACAGTAAGTACTGGGTAGTGAAGATCTGGATTTGATCCCTGAAAGAGCAATACTTTCTATTTTCAAGGTAAGAATTTTGATGTTCAAGCTGATGTATAACATTTCTTCATTTCGAGAGGCCTTTAAACTGTTCTTTCCTATCTCATCAATTCTAAATTCCTTATGATGTAGCTATTATCAGAATGCGCACTCCATAGTTGGTAGATGGGCTTTTAGAGTTTATTTGTATCCCAGAAGCTTACTTACCTCAATTTTGTCCTTCAGTGAAATAATTTTTTTCCCCTAACAGGCCTTGTAGTTCCTCTGGCTGCTCTTTAAGACATTCTTTCAATACACTGTTGGCTTACACCCATACTCTATACTAGCCATATACAAAAGAATTCCAATCACAAACGTTTTTGGAAAACAAATGTTTATTAGCAATAATTTAATTTGCATAAATGAAGAATTTGTATGCTAGTTTTTCACTCTTTATTTACAGAATTCACAAATTTGATCCTTCAATTTGACTATACAGAAACCAAGGCAATCTGGTATAAGGAAGCATGCATTGAAAGAACTATAGTTTCTTACCAGAAAACAAGTGTCTGAGACAAGGACATGACAGCTCCAAGTATGGTTGAGGAGAGGGTTTTTATTGTAGATTATGAAGGAGAACACAGTCAAGGACATCTAGAAGAGTCCAGAGTAGGGAAAGTATGGCCTGCAGAACGAATGGGTCATGGGGAGTGGGGTTACCAGAGGCTAGGACTGAGCCAAAATAGTACATGGCTCAAATGGCATGGTTACATAGGAATGAAAAGCTGGGGGAAGGGAAGCCCACGAATTGGAGAACTTTAGGGTAGGGGTGGGGTGAGAAAAGCTGCAAAGAGCTAGGATGCCAGCATGGATTCTGGAATAGATACTTTCTAGGCTGAGGGCTTGGAGGCCAGCATGCTTTTTGGTATGCTAATAGACACCACTTAGCCATTTATCCCCAGTTTCTTTTAGATCCAGCACCCTGACAACTATTTAAAGCCATTACAAAGTTTTCTTGAGTTATACCAACACAGAACTTCTGGATTTAAAAACATTGCAAAATTCCCAAGTTACACATACCACTTTCTAGAAAAAACATTTCTGATTGTGTTTTTCTTTTTCAGAACTTAGCCTGATCTCAAACCTGAGCTGTTCCTACTAGATATACAATCTAAAACAGACAAATTATCAACTTATAAAACTACAAATTCCTTGCATTTTAGAGGCTCCCAAGCAAATCAGAATCACTCACTTTTAAAAACTTATATGATAGCTATTATTGTAAAGCTTTTCCTTTTGGGCCTTCTCTTTTTGCTTATTTTTCTTTCAGTTTTCCACAGCAGGGCTCTCTGCATAGCTTTGGCTGTCCTCAGAGATCCACCTGTTGCTGCCTCCCAAGCACTGGGATTAAAGGTGTATGTCACCATGCATGGTTGAGTCTTTTCTTAAAGTAGACTCTAACTTGAAGTTTAATTTAAAAAAAAATTTTTTTTTTAAATTTGGGGCCGATAAGGTGGCTCAGTGGGTAAAGGCATCTGATGCCAAGACTGGCAACCTGAGTTTGATTTCAGGAATTGACAAAGGAAGTAGTTCTCTGACCTCTACTCTAATACTGTGGCATGTGACAAACAGAGCATGTATGTACCTGCTCACATACATAGAAGCAAAATAAAAAAAAGTTAAACGTTTTTATTTTATTTTACCTTTATGTGTATGGAGGTGAGAGAACAACTTGCAGAAACTAGTTTGTCCCTTCTACCATGTTTGTTCCAGGGATCAAACTTGCATTCTCAGGCTTGGTAGCAAGTGCCTTTACCTGCTGAGCTATCTTGCTGACTTTAACTTAAAATTTCAAATACACGGGCTGGAGAGATGGCTCAGTGGTTAAGAGCACTGACTGCACTTTCAGAGGTCCCGAGTTCAAATCCCAGCAACCACATGGTGGCTCACAATCATCTGTAATGAGATCTGATGCCCTCTTCTGGTGTGTCTGAAGACAGTTACAGTGTATTCATATATAATAAATAAATAAATAAATAAAATTTCAAATACACACTTGTAGCAAATATTTCCCAGTTAATCAGATTTTTAGACAAGCGAGGTTTATTAATATAGTTGTATACCACATTCTTGAGTTTTAGATTACAAAAAATAACTTAGAAAAATGAGTTTAAACATTTTTGCTTACATTCTAAATGAGTCAGTCATAACCAGAGAAAAACATTCACTGTAATAGGGCAAATATTTACCCAAATTATTGTCATGTTTACTAACATTAACAATTTTAGAATCATCACTAACATCATGAAGGATGAAGAACTTTTGGCCTTATGCATGCTACACAAACATTGATTCAAGAATATTATTACAACACCACCAAACATGAATTTCATTTTGTATTCTGATAAACTTAATGTGGTCATTGAAACATAAAACTTAAGGACTGCCTTTCCCTAAAGTACTAGAAGGCATGATAACGGAACGAGCCCACAAGAAACAGTTTTTACATTCTCAAGCTCAAATTAAAATATTTAGAAATCTCATCCTTTTTATATTTGCTTTTATATATGTTTTCCCATTACTATTATACAAGTAGTAACTTTGAACTCACATATAAATCCTTTTTCTCTAACAGCTAAGGCTAAAAAGGCTAGGGTATAGTCTTTTTAAAGCTTACCAAGCATGTTGGAGGCCCTATGTTTGATCTATACACAAAATAATAGGAGAGACAGCTCAGCAGCTAACAGCATATCTTGTTCTTGCAGAAAACTCAGGTTTGATTCCTGGTCCCATGTTGTGTCTCACAACTGTCCATAACTCCAGTGCTAGGGAATCCTATACTTTCTTCTGACCTCATAGGCACTAGATACACAGGTAGTAGACAGGTAAGATGAGGAAAACACATATAAAAATGAAATCTAAGGGAAAATAAAAACAAAACATAGCAAAAAAAAAAGTCCACACATGTCCAGAAAAGCATAAGGTGAATAACATTAGTTGCCTTTGTCTTTTGTACATTTGAATATGCTGTCTTCAGACACACCAGAAGGCATCAGATTCCATTACAGATGGTTGTGAGCCACCATATGATTGCTGGGAATTGAACTTAGGACCTCTGAAAGAGCAGCCAGTGCTCTTAACAGCTAAGCCCATAAATCTTAATTTTTACACCAGAATCAGTTTCATTGAATTATCCAGTATTTAAAAATAAAAACTAAATCATATTCTGGCCGGGAAGGGTAGTTACATGCCTCTAATACTAGCACTTGGGAAGGAAAGGCAGGTGGATCTTTAAAGTTCAAGACAAAACCTAGTCTACATAGTGAGTTTTAGGCCAGCCAAAGCTTTAAATAAACAAACGAATAAAACAACGCCCCCCCATAAAAACCCCCAAAACTGTCACCAACTCTCGAAATAGAATTTGTATTTGCCAAGAAGTGGCACCATTAGTAGGAGTGGCCTTGTAGACGAAAGTGTGTCAATTTGGGGGTGGTCTTGGAGACTCTCCTCCTAGCTGCCTGGTAGTCAGTCTTCTCCTGTTTGCCTTTAGAACAAGATGTAGAATTCTCAGCTCCTTCTCTACCATCATACCTGCCTGGGTGCTGCCATGCTTCCCACCTTGATAATGGACTGAACCTCTGAACCTGTAAGCCAGCCCCAATTAAATGCTTTCCTTTATAAGAGTTATCTTGTATCTTAGTCATCATGGTGACTATTCACAGCAATGGAAACCCTAACCAAGACACTTAGCTTATAAGTTTCAAAATGACAATAGATATACCTACCATTTTCCTCTAATACTTTCCTTTTCAGGCCTTGAAGGTTGGAAGAATAAATGATAGTGGAATCTCTCAATTAAGAATTCAAGAAGCGAGGCTTTAGTGCTTACTGCTCTTGCAGAGGATCAGAGATCAGTTAATACCCATGGCAGGCAGCTCATAATGTCTGTAACTTCCAGTTCCAGGGGATCCAATGCCTCTGACTAGTATGCAGTGTATGTACGCATGCGAGTGCACATATGTGTACACACACACACACATACACACACACTCAAATTTTAAAAATGAACTGAATAATTCTTGAATAATTAATTATTTAATAATAATAATTAATTAATAATTAATTATTCTGAATAATGTTTTCATTTTGCTTTAAAAACAGCAAAAATCATTGATGCTAATTTTAGAATTAGCTAATTTTGAAATGATTTGCCTAGTTCTAATAGTTAATTAATTCTCAATTGTAACTCTTAAAAATCTCTGCACAGTGCTGTTTCTTTTTTTATAAATTCCACAATGGGAGTGACTGTGAGGTGACATGACTTCAAATGATTTTTAAAATTTTCAAGAATTTCTCTCTCCTCTTCAAATATATACCATTTATAAGAAAATAAGACTCTGCTTATCCTTAGTAAAATTTCTTATCCACAGTAAACCAGTGATAAATCTAATGAATCTACTTGTAATATTTTATAACCCCAATTTACTTATAATTTGTTCATTCATTCACCTATACTTTAAACAGCTGCACAGTATATTAACTTTTGATAATGGACACTTTACAAATGCTTCAAAATATTCCACTACAAACACAGGAAATCACTGGAGTTTATTTACTAAGCTTAAAAATTCTAAAACTGAACTACTGTAGCTGGTTGAAAACTATCTGAGAAATATATTATTTGTTATCTTACTTGATAAGATACATTAATATATGAATGTTAGGATATAATGTTTAGGCTAGTGCTCTTGCAGTTCTGGATGTCTTAATTTTGTATTTAAAGTTCAAAGTTTCATTTATACTTCTAGTATCTTTAAAAGATTTTCTTTCTTTCTTTTTTTGGTTTTTCGAGACAGGGTTTCTCTGTGTAGCCCTGGCTGTCCTGGAACTCACTCTGTAGACCAGGCTGGCTTTGAACTCAGAAATCCGCCTGCCTCTGCCTCCCAAGTGCTAGGATTAAAGGCGTGCGCCACCACTGCCTGGCCCTAAAAGATTAATAATAAATGTAAGTAAAGGAGGCACAATTATTGATAGAAATGTTAGTATCTGTCAGATGCATTAAAATAATGAAAAAGATTTAAAAACTATATATAGTAAAGTTGCTCTTTCCTATGATACCATCTGTTCATAGAGCAAAAACCCATCTCAAAACCAAACAAAATCTACCACATATACAGATACCAAGTTGTTTAGCTCATGGGAGGAATAGTTAACAGCATGCTACTGAAGAAATACTTGGCACACATGAGAGATCTGGCCTAAATTTTAAAATGTACCAGAGACAGAGGACCTACAAGATGGCACATCTAATAAGGGTACTTGCTGTATAACTTGGTGACCTGAGTTTTATCCCTGAACTCTTTTAAACACTGAAGGAAAGAACACACAAAGTTTGTCCCCTGATGGCCACATGGGACATGCCCAAACATAATAAACGGGTGCGGTGTGGAGGGGCCTTTAAAAATAAAAAGCTTAGAGTTAGTTATCTGGAAAAAAAATTTAATAACTTAGAAAGGCTGAAGCATGATATACCAACTGTGGACTTTGAATTTTATTCTGCAGGAAAGGGCAGTGTTTTAGAAAATCCAATCAGTGGTATACATTGAAGATGATTAAAATTTTAGACTAAATCAGATGCAAAAAAAAAAAAAAAATCCTTGGTCAAGACGCTGCTAAAAAAGAAGTGAGAAATAACTAGCCACTAAGTACAGCAACATTTCTCAAACTGGAGGAATCAAAAAAAAGTCTATGGCTATTGGGCCGCTGACAAACATGAACAAATTCAGTGTTTCTTGGAACCACTTACTTTGGCTCTTGCTAAACTGATTAAGAGGAAAACAATTTGAGAGCCAACAAAGCATTATTAATAAAAACCTGGTTAATCACCCATATAAACATCCCCCCACAATGGTCTTGGATGGAGGCTTTTGTGTCAGAATAAAAACATTTTCTTCCATCTGCAAAAGCCAAAAAGGCTAAGGAACATATGGTTATCCTAAAGTACTAAGACTGAATTTTATATTGATGTCTATCTAAGTTACCCTAAAGTACTAAAACCAAATTTTATATTAAACTAAGAATTCCAACATCAAACTTCTAAATATACTTAAAATATATTTTTTTCTGTATATGTGGTGGGATATATGTCCTGGGTCATATGCATGCCACAGCTTGAGTATATGGCAAGAGGCAACTTATTTGAATCCCTTCTCTCCTTTTATCACCTAGGTCCTGGGGAACTGAATTCAATCAGGTCACCAGGTTTGGCTTTGCAGGAATCTTTACGAGCAGACTTATCATCTGCAACTTCTAACATGTTTACATTCTATTAATTGTAACTCACTCGTCTCATACAGACCCCTTACTGTTCCTGCAAGCACCCCAAATGTGTTGGCTTCAAAATCTTTTTATTTATTTATTATTTATTTATTCATTCATTCATTTATTTCAAAATCTTTATATTTGTGATTTCAACTACTCAGAGGTCTTCTTCTGAAAAACCTTATATAGTTTGTTCTCATTTTTCACTGTTCAAATGTTACTTCGGAGGGACATCCTCCAAACATACTTTATTTAGAAAGTATATTTAAAAAAACACTGTCGAATAGCAATAACTACCACTCCCATCTTGCCTCCCTAATTTTTCCACAGAACATAAAAATTGTCATTTTTTTTCTTCATCCTAGTATTCTTCCACTACCTATCAGTACTGGGGATTTATCTGTTTGGTTTTGTGATGATCTTCAGCACTGAAACAGAATAAATTTTTATTTCTCACTATGTAAATATTACAAATCTCAAATATGCTGCCCAGACTGATCTTGAACTCAAAGAGATCCACTTGCCTCTGTCCTGAATGTTTCAATCTCAATTAAAGGTGTGTGTCATCATGGACTGGCTGTTTTTGTCCTTTTTTGGTTTAATTACACAGGGCTGGGTTTACATGTGGATACCATATCTGATGTCAACTATATTTTCAATGCTGTCTGACATTTAACATTTTCATACCACTAGAAAAGAAAATATAAAAACTGATATAAAAACCTGTAATTATTAGAATTCACAATTTCTTTAAAGAAACAATTTAAATTTTTCTTTATTTCAGCATAATACTAGACTTTATTGATTTATAAAAAAATGGTATTTTAAATATTGCACATGGAAAGTTTACTTATCAGCATTCCTAAATATTATAATACAAAGTAAAGAAACATGCCAACTATCATTTTCCAAAGGTATTATTTAATAGAATCACCAAAGATAAACGGAAGCGGAGGGTGCACCACTAAGAAAGACCCATTGGGCACATGCATTAATAAGTTAAGGCTGAGGAACATTTAGCACAAAAGTAGCATCAATATTTTTTGGTTTTGGTATACGTTTTAGTAGTAGAGCCCTTCTTGAGGTCCTGGGTTTAATTCCTACACACTAAAAGAAAACAAACAAAACCAAAGCAAAACAAACCAACAAAAAAAAGTGAAAGGGGACCAGGGGAAGTGAAAACTGGCATGCCTAGGATGTGTTTCATAAACATACACACTAACACCACGACCCCCTCAGTTTCTGGTGGAAGAATAAGCTGTACATTAAAAGGTTACAGGTATTAGAAATAAACTCGCTCTAAGCTATCCCTTATCTCCCTAGATGGAATGCATTGATGATCTTTCATTTCTTCAAAATATGAAAGTAGCATGTCTAAATATTTACTGGAGCCAAATCTGTTTAAAACAATAAGGACATTTTTTTTTCTCTTTTTGGATGGTATTTAATGAGAAACAACACTCAGAAAAAAATATTTTTCATAACAGGATAGTAATATTCCTTTGCAAAAGGGAAAAAAAAACAAAAACAAACCAAATTTTAATTAAAATGCTAACTTGTAAAATTGGACGTGTAAAACCCTAGATCACAAAAGAACATCCATATGTAATTATTTTTTGAAGGATAACTAAATTGTTATTAATGTAAATGTGTATAACTTTAACTTTGCTACTAGCTATCCTTCAAAATTAGTCAAAAAGATGTAAATTAACTCTAGATTTCCAAGTCAGTAAAAATGTATTTAATACAAAAAAAAAATGTATTTAAAATTTACACTTAAATGTATATTTTTATACAGGCTATTTCTTCTCTATGAAAAGATGGAGAGAAAGTTATGTACAATTAATCTTAGTTTTCTATTGCTGTGAAGAGATGCCATGCTTATGTAAAAAACGCTTACTTCAATGGCCCACAGTGACTTGTAAAAGAGCTAATATCACTCTTACATAATAAAAGCTTTACCTTCTTCTAGCCACAGTCTATAATCTTTTGCTACTGTAGTTATGGACACCTCCACCAGAAAAAAGTAATTGCTCCTAAAACGGAGTCTTATTTTATAATTAATTAAAGCAGTTAGTTAAAACTTATGTAATTTTACCTTAAAATTAGAATCGAGTAGTGGTTCCTTTGAATACAATTCCTTAAAAAGTAACTGAAATACTTTTAGGATTTCCACCACATGATATTGGGTAGAATTCATTAAGAATATTTAATCTGAAAAGGTAAAAGGCTCCTTGTAAGAAGTAATGACAGAGTTAGAGAACATTATTATGAGATACCTGCATTTTCTTAAACATTTTAAAATAATGACTTAAAAGATTTCAAATAAGGAACATAGGAGAGTCAAAAGAACATTTCCTTTGAAATATAATCAAAATATTCTGAATATATTTATAAAATTAGTAACTATGTTAGCTTTAATCTGAAGTTAAATATTAAGGCACATAAGTCTTTCATATTTTTGATTTGTTAAAAAATCTCCTGTTAAGGACTTAAACATTTTAGTAAAAATAAGAAAAACAGTAATTATTAAGTTAGAAGACATAGGATTAAGATCCTAGTATGTCATAGGCTACAAATTAAATTTCAGATTGCTTCCTCAGTTAACCAATGAAAAGATCAGCCACGCTAAGGATTCTTCTGCATTTAAAGTTTAGAAATTCAACTTACACATTTTAATGTTTTTCTCCATTTAAAATAAAATATTTAGACATATTATACTAAAGATTGTTATAATCTGTAGAATTTCATACTTTATCTGTATCTAAAGAAAACTTCAAGAGAAAAATAATTTTTCTATTATAAGTAATGAGTTCAAATTCATATAGAATACAAAGACACATTAAAATAAATTCTGTGGTACTTCCTAAATTCTTTCAAAAACCTTTTATATGGACATGTTGGAATGAGAAGTCAAGACTCAGTTGTACTAGGTATATTCTCTACCACTGTAGTTGTTAAGAAACTCTAGAAAAGTATTCAAGGCTTAAAAATACTTCTATCAATTCCAGTCAGTGCTCCATCTGTGGAGCCAACCAACCACACATTTAAAACATTTGGGTGGCCAGGCACAGTGGCCCATAATTTTAATTAAAGAATTTGGGAGGCAGAGGCAAGAGAATCTCTGTGAGTTCCATGGCAGCCTGGTCTACATGGTGAGACCTTGGCTCAAAAGTCCAAACCAATCAAATTATTTCTTGTGCAAAAACTGCCCATTTGTACTGAATTGTACAGTTTTTTCTTGTCATTACAGGAATAACTTGAATAATACAACTATCCATGTTAACATTCCACTACAGTATACATTAAAAGCAATTTAATGATTAAGTTTAAATATAAGGGAGGACATGCATGGTCATAAGCAGACATTTTATACAGGAGACTCAAGCATTTACAAATCTAGGTATCTAGAAATCCTATAATCAATTCCTCATAACCACAAGAAGTAATTTTATGTTTTTTCTTTTTTAAAAGACAGATTCTCATATAGATCTTAGATTTGCTTTATGGCCAAGGTTGACCTCAAGGCTTTAATTCTCTGTTTTCCACTTCCCCAGTGCTGGGATTACAAGTGTGCTCCTGGTATGCAGTGGTAAGGCTAAAACCCATGGCCTTGTGCATGCGAGGCAGAAGTACTCTACCTACTGAGCTATATTACCATTCCACAATTATGTAGTATTTTAATGGACACAGTATGTGGAGAGCTGTTACTCTAACATCATTACAACAGAATAATACTTAACATAATATCACTAATGCAATTACAAAACTTGAAAACACAGAAGTAACATCAATACACATCGAATTATGGTTGTAGAGTATTGCCAACCTTACTTCAGCAGCACAGTCAATACTGGAGATAATTTCAGAATCTTAACGCCAATATTTACGTGCTGCTAAGGCACTGCTGACATTGCTATCATAGGAGCTATGAATAAAAAGACAGGTACTTTCTTCAGAAGATCAGATCCTTGTATTTTGAGGCAGCACAATATGGCCTGCACCTTTTCAAAATCCACAAACCATTATGTGCTGCTACTTTACTCCAAGGTTTTGTTTTTGAAACTCATAGCACCTAAATAGTAATTTACAAAGGAGTCTCTTTAGGAAAAAAGCAGAATACATAAAATCCATGTTTGACAAACAATACTGGTATGTGCTTAATTTTATAAGTTTTCAGCAGAATAAAATGTATTTTCATATCATAAATTTAGTAAGTCTACTGTAAACAATACAGTGCTGTAATTTATAGTAATCATGAAATGAGAAAAATAAGTCATTTTTCCATGCTAACCTAATAAGAATTTGATTTATTAAACTAGCCAAACTTTTGAATGTATTTAACATATGAAGCAGTTATAAAAGTTGGTGTATACCTTATTAAGAGCAGCACACCTTTCAAAGTCAAATTCACAGGATAAAGCTTTATGTTAAAGGACAAACATAAAACATGTAAGAGCTCAGTTTCAAGAAATTAATACTAGCAAAAAGAAGACACACACATGAAATATATTCCTCAAAATATATAACCCCCAATCTACACATGAACACTCAAGATTCATCTCCATACTGTAACAGTTATTGTGAGTTCAGTGTCAGTTTATTATCTAGAACAGAAGCTCTGTAGCTCAAGCCTAATTAAGCCTAAGTAACCATTTGTATGTTTTTCATTAAAAAGGCTATTCCTTTAAAGGCATATCATTTTATACAACAAGACAAATTTATACAACAAAATTTGCATTCTGTTCTAATCTTTTATAGGAAGCACAGTCATATTCCATTTAAGTTCTGTCTTTTCTCTATTACTAAAATATATGTAGATAAGTTATGAATAAGTCAATTACGGTGTTACCCATTTCTCTATTATTGCCTGCAAGTTTTAACACAATTTTTAACATCTATTTAAGATATATCAGCCAGGGCTACTCAGAGAAACCCTGTCTTGAAAAACCAAAGACCCAATAAAATAGTTTAAAAAAAAAAAAAAAAAAGCCGGGCAGTGGTGGCGCATGCCCTTTAATCCCAGCACTTGGAAGGCAGAGGCAGGCGGATTTCTGAGTTCGAGGCCAGCCTGGTCTACAGAGTGAGTTCCAGGACAGCCAGGACTACACAGAGAAACCCTGTCTTGAAAAACCAAAAAAAAAAAAAAAAAAAAAAAGGATATATCAACTCATACTTGAATTTACAATGTGCTAGTTTGTTTTCCATTGTTTTGAAAAACATCATGATCAAAAACAACCTGGGAATGAAAGGGTTTATTTCATTTTACAACCTAATGATCATCATGAAGGGCTGGAATTAAAATCAGGAACCAGGAGGCAGGAACTGAAGCACAGGCCATAGAGGAATATTGCATACTGGCTTGCACTGCTTGCTCTCTCATACCCACAGGACCATTTGCTCAGGGTTGATGCTGCCCAGTGGGTTGGGTCCTCCCACATCAAGTATTAATCAAAAAAATGCCTCCTAGATATGTCCACAGGACAATCTGATGGAAACAATTCCTCAACTGAGATTCCCTCTTTCTAGATGTCTGTTTGTTAAGTTGCTAAACTAACCAGCAGAATCAGTTACATGAAAATTTAGGTTCTTAAACCTACTGTGTAGTTAAATTTTAAACACATTTTAAAACATACATGATTATCATCATTTAAGTATTTTACTGAACACCTACTCTATGTAACCACTCTCCCATTTGTTACACAGTAGTTGCTACAGTGGTGTACAAAATATAGTTTTCTCTTTAGAAGGACTCTAGAATGACCTAAATTATAAGAAACAACATCATGAATTAACTATTCAAAATCATATGTTGATCTAGACATGGTAACACACCCTTATAATAGCAACAGTTGGCACAAGGATCAAGATTTCAAGGTCATCCTTGGGTACATAATAAACCCAAGGACATCCTAAGCTACATAAAACATTGTTACAAACACACACATATCAACCCCACCTCCCTCCTATACCATTCTTTGTCCCTATACAGTACATATAGACATTAATTATTCCAATCTCAAATGAATGATTTCAATATCAAGTCAATCTTTTTCGGGTAAAACCTGTATTTTTTAAGCCAAGACAAGTAATCTTGAAACAATGAGAATTCACATATATACTTATATAAAAAAAAATCACATTATGATATGCTCTTACACTGGGCGGTGGTGGTGCACGCCTTTAATCCCAGTACTTAGGAGGCAGAGGCAGGCGGATTTCTGAGTTCGAGGCCAGCCTGGTCTACAGAGTGAGTTCTAGGACAGCCAGGGCTACACAGAGAAACCCTGTCTCAAAAAAAAACCAAAAAAAAAAAAAACAAAACCAAAAAAAAAAAAACAAAAAAAAACAAAAAAAACCCCCAAAAACCAACCAACCAACCAACCAACTAAACAAAAAAACCAAACAAACAAACAAAAAAAACCCCAAAAACCAAAAAAAAAAAAAAAAAAAAGTTTAAGATATTCTCTTATTTTTAAAAACTACTCTACCATATATAAAAGTTTAGCAATGTATGTACTTTAAGGGGTTAAGTTTTTGTAGCATCAAGAACATCCATATTCTAAACACTGTAACTAAACTTTTCACTTCCAAGTGATACCTTAATCATTAAACACTAACTGCCCAATCCTCTTACCTTAGTTCTAAGAAACTAACTTTCTACCCAGTCTCCTGACTTTGTCATATCTTACAATTAAAGAGGACTTTATGTTTAAATTCACTTAATCGAATTTTCTATCCTTATAATCTTTGGAGTAGAAGCATGAGTCACCACAACCATACCCTTTACCTGCTGTTAGAGACTCAATTTAGATCCCCATGCTTATGGAGCAAGTATTTCATCATTCCCCAGCTCTTACTTACACGTGTGTACATGTGTGTGCGTGTCTATATATGTGCCATGTATGTGCCTGAGCAGGCCAGAATAAGATGTCTAATCCCTTGAGCCTACAGCTATAGAAGGTGTGAGTACCTGATGTGCTGGCTGGGAAGGGAAGTTGGGTCCTCTCCAAGAGCAGAAAGTTCTCTTACCCACTAAGCCACTTCTTCAGCCCTACTTCTTTAAAAAAAAAAAAAAAAAGTGTAGTATTTACAATGTATATACGGGTGTACCACTAAATACAAGTGGAAGTTAGGAGGCAAACTCAGGGATTTCTCCTAACCTTCTACTTTGTTT